TGAACTTACAAGTAATAGACACAACAGTTTACGTATATATCATCACACAACTATCTACATGATAAATATAAAAGGTATCCAACAAACCTTCTAACCAAGCTTTTAACCTTGAAAACAGTTTCTTGATTCACACTTGTTACCAAATTTGCTCGTATTTTATATATGGAAAAAATTTATATAAAGATGCAACCTTATAATGTAGAACTACTGATGCATCTCAAAAATCCATCGAAAAAGGTAGTTTTAATGTAGAAAAACCCTTTGATTGATCATCTCAACATCGAGATGTATGACTATAAACAATAAACAGATTTTAAGTCTTATAAAATAGTGCATTTTACAATATATTATCTACACCATCCATTTTCAAGATTTTATATGTTTATAAGAACGTTTTACATCAAAATTATATACCATGATAAAATTTGAAAGTGCACCTTGCCAAGGTGCACCTTACCTCTACAATTAGGATGCATCCGTATGCCATTTGCACCTTTTATATATAGAAGATAAAAAAAAGGATATATGTGTAAAATTGAAAATATGCCACGTAGTATCATTAAAACTCCCAAGATATAACTGTGGACATGGTTAGCATGTGGCCGGCCAGCATATTGTAAAAATGAAGGCTTGGCAATAAATATATTTTTTAAATATAATTTGATCTTAATTTTTAGAGAATATATAATTTTTAACATGGAGATCATAAATATGAATTTTTTTTCAAAATTAGAAATAATAATTATATTAAGAAAACATTTGGACCATTAATTACAATTGTTTTTAAATGGACTACCTATTTGCATCTATCTTTAAGATGGATGCTTTATACCTCTGGACCGCATATGTAAAAATGCGATCTAGCCAGTTTAAAACAATTGTTCTACAAATATAGATGCAGTCAGTATGCGGCCCACCCGCATATTGTAGAAATGCAAGCTTGACAATAAATGATAGGAAAATTATTGTTAATATACCTTAATTTTAAGAAAATCGCAAAAACAAAATCCCAACTTCCCAAAACCTCGCCCACACCCCTTTTTCCAATTTTGACATTTTTTTGACAAAAATACCCTTTATGGTAGTCTTTCTACCGTAATGCATTACCTCCATTACTGTAATTAAAATACCGTTGTAAATAGAGATAGAATTATAGTACTTCTAGTACATCAATAACATAAACATGTATTACAATACTTTAATTACCACAATAACATAGAATATTAAGATAATTAAAATACCATAATACTTTAAAGTAGTATTATGGTAATTTAAGTACCATAATATTGCCTAACTCAGCACGAAAGATTTTTACTCTCTCAAGCCTACAATTTATTTACTCCCTCGACAAAAATCTATGCTAGCTGTAATTTTTCAAAATCTCAAATTTTTAGGATATAATATCTACTTAATTTTTATATGGTTCTTAAAATTTTAGAATGAAAACACGCTTAAATGTGTTTTTAAGCGATGGAGTAGATCCACATCGTGCTCTCATGAGAACGTAGATTTTTTTAAACAAGGTAGCCCTAATATTAGCTTTGGTTTGACACTTTTAAAGTGTTAGGGTAATTCTATTACCGTAATGCTATTACTATAATTAAAGTATTACCGTAATTTTATTACCCTAATACTTTAAAAGCTTCAAACTAAAGCTAATATATGGGCTGTTTTTTTCAAAAAATCTATGTTCTATGGGAGCACGATATGGATCTACTCATTCGCTTAAAAATACCTATTTAAGTATGTTTTTGTTCTAAAATTTTGAGAACCATATAAAAATTAAGTAGATATTTTTTAGCCTAAAAATTTGAGATTTGAAAAATTATAGCTAACATAGATTTTTGTCGAAAGAGTAAACAAATAGTAGGTTCGAGAAAGTAAAAAATCTTTCGTGTTGAGTTGGACAATATTACGAGTACTTAAATTATCCTAATAGTACTTTAAAGTATTACGGAATTTTAATTATCGTAATACTCTATGTTATTACGGTAATTAAAGTACTATAATAGATGTTTATGTAATTACATACGGTATTTTAATTACCGTAATGATCGTAATGCATTATGGTAGAAAGACTACTGTAAGGGGTATTTTCATCTATAAAATATCAAAAATTGAAAGAAAAAAAAAAAGAAGAAGTGTGGACAAGGTTTTGAGGAGTTTGAAGTTTTTTTTATGATTTTTTTAAAATTAAAATATATTAATGATAGTTTTTCTAAATAATATTCTTTAAAAGAAAATAGGCTGCTGGGGTGTTTTCGTCAAGTTGAAAAGAAAATGGGATTCTATCCTACTCCAATTTGGGCCAAAGAATATGGCCAATATTCTTGGCTCTCAATTGCCCTTTTTGCGTATGATTTGACTTCCCTTGATTGAGAATGAGGGCACTTCAGATAGTTGTCAACGTCCATGAGGATGCTCTAGTCATTTTACCGAAACAGAATTGGCGAAGGAGAGTCACGTAAAAGGCGTGGGGTCGTCTGGACATTTACAAAATAATCAGGGCTACTTCCGTCATATTATATTCCCTGAAAATACAGCCTGGCCATGATCCAACGGCCAGAAAATTCTATCAGATTTAAGATCCAATTCTAGCCGTTAATACATAGCTTTTGCCCCAATAAAACCTAGAACGCCTTCATCCCAGGCAACCTAGAGAGAGAAAGAGAGGAGAGAGATGGTATGAGAGAGAAAGGAAAAAGAGATCGGTTTATAGAGAGAGTAACTGGTGGAGAGAGCGTGAGAGAGGTTTACAGGGGGTGGGAGCAACTCTGATAGAGAGTGGGCCTCTGCGCCATGGGTTTCTCGGCCAACACCTTGTTACCATCACCCACACCTTTTCTCTCACTCAAGCTCCAAAACCCACCTCTCCAAACTCCTCTAATTGCCTGATTCCCCCACCCTTTCTCTGACTAAAATCACCAATCCCCACCTTGCTGAAACCCCCAATTCCGTTTTTCTCTGTCTACGCGATGGCTCAAAGCAATAGATCCACCGGTCAGGTGAAATGGTTCAACAGTACCAAAGGCTTTGGCTTCATAACCCCGAGTGAAGGGGGTGAAGATCTCTTTGTTCACCAAACCTCCATTAAATCTGAGGGCTTTCGAAACCTAACTGAGGGTGAAACTGTTGAATTCGAAGTTGAGGAGGGTGAAAATGGTCGCCCAAAAGCTGTGGATGTAACAGGACCCAACGGGTCTCCGTTAACTGGGTCACGCCCATTTTCGGGTGGTAGGGGCAGGGGTTTTGGTGGCGGTGGTGGCTATGGGGGCGGTGGTAGTTATGGGGGCGGTGGTGGTTATGGGGGCGGTGGTGGTTACGGGGGCGGTGGTGTTTATGGGGGTGGTGGTGGTTATGGTAGTAGGGGAGGGAGAGGTAGTGGGAGAGGGGTTTTTGGTGGGAGGTCTTCTTATGGTGGGGGTGATGGTGCATGTTATAATTGTGGCCAGGTTGGCCACATGGCTAGGGATTGTTTCCAAGGTAGTGGAAATAGATCTGGTGGTTATGGTGGTGGTGGTGGTGGTTATGGTGGTGGTGGCTATGGTGGTGGTGGCGGCGGCTATGGTGGTGGAAGAGGTGGTTATGGTTATAGTTATAGTGGTGGTGGTGGTAGTAGTAGTGGTGGGTGCTATAACTGTGGGGAACCTGGTCACTTTGCTAGAGAGTGCCCTAATGATCAAAAATAGGGTTTCTCTCCCTATTATCTCTTTTGCTTTTCTTTCTGTTTGTTTGCTGTTTTTGTTCTTGTTTTGTGATTGTCTCTTTCCCTTCCTTTCCCTGTCTTTGGGATTTCTCCCTCTCTCAAGGAGAAAGTTTTCTCTGTTACTACTGTCTTTCTTAGACAATTCAGTTTCTCTCACGCCCCCTCTATGTTGGACAATTTAGAGGGTCTCTCTTCTACACCCCCTTCCCTCTCTCTATCTATATGCCTCTCATCATTTCAATCTGCTTGCCTACATCTATATGCCTCTCATCTTTTCAATCTGCTTACCTACATCATGTCGTGGAGTCAGATTAACTGATACAAGTTGTTCTAACCCTTTTTTGGAAATCTTAAGCTGAAATGTTTTTATTTTTATTTTTATGGGGTTAAAGAAGCTTGGGTTAGTGGGGTTTGTAAATACAGAAACAAGTGGTGGTGAGATGGATGAACAGAGCGGCGTGACTCAAAATCTCCTAGCTCAAGTGTTTCTTCTCCGTCTGATGGAGAATACCATGCTTTGCTGTATGCCATTCTCTTGCCCCTGTTTTTTTTCAGTCTTTTTTGGGTTTTTTAATTTCTGTAAATCTGAGTGATCTCAGAGTTTTGATCCCTTTTGTGAAGATTGGGTCAATTCCTTTGGAGATTGGATCAATTCCTTTCACTTTTTCCTTGTGGAATTTAATTTAATTTACGTCAGCAAATGAGATTTTGGGTGTTTATATCTTCTTTCCTGTTGCAACTTGTTGCTGTGTTACTTTTTCTGTTACTGGTTATCCTCTCTCAATGATATACATGATTCCTTTATAATCTTATTGTGTTATTGGGAACGCTTGTGTAAGGGTGCACTTTTTTGTTGGACCTTATGAGTGGGGAGTTGCGATGGATGGGAACTCTTTTTCTTTCAGAAATAGCTATTACTTTTTTATTTATGTTCCTGATATTATGAATGCCTCCTTTTCTCTTAATTCTGTGGTAGCTTTGATGTTTTCCCAATTTGTAAAAGGTTTTATTGGTGCTAGACTTTTGTATTATCAATTTTATCATTGTTTTGAACTGTGTTCTAAGGAGATCTTTATCCTTTTCTTTTATTTTTCTGATATAGAATGCTTGGAGGAATCTTGCCATGTATTTTACGAAGATATTTGATCAAGGTCTTGTCCTGCAAAAAGAATTTCTTTTTATCTCTATGAAGTACTTCATTATTATAAGTGTTCTTTGTTTTAAATTGGAAACATCCTTTTTTCCACCTGTGATGATATTTGATGATAAGTTTCTTTCTTTGGTGTAGAAGTTCAGATGACCTTATCATAAGTATCGTCTTCACTTGAAAATGAAAGAACTATATTTAAATCATTTATTTATTTATTCCTTTGAACTTTACCATCTCTTCGTGGGACATTTTTGTTATAAAATAAGTGAAAAATGTGAGTTGTGTTCGGTGATGTGGTTTTGTCGTTGCATTTAAGCCTCATCAGTAGGCTTTTTGTTTAATTGTGCAGCCTTTCGTTTTCCAACATTCCGACTGTTGCCTTCTTAGAAACCAGAATTTTCTTCGAGTGGCAATTGATTTTTACAACTTGTTATCCTTTCTCTTTCTCACCATTACAACTTTGAGAGTTCTAATTTTCAGTGGGTAGAGAGAGGTGGTTGGCTTGAGCTTTAGTACAGCTGTACAGCCCTCAAGGATGGGTTTAGTTTGGAGGGAGAGGCCTCATCAGGTCGGATGGGTTTAGTTTGGAGGGAGAGGCCTCATCAGGTCGGATGGGTTTAGTTTGGAGGGAGAGGCCTCATCAGGTCTGTATATGGGGGTATAAGGGCGCAACGGGCAGGGTGGCCTTGCTTGGCCTATCCCTGGGTGGCCTTTAGGCTCAATAGCCCTAGCCTGGGCAACTAAGGCCTTTGCACAGTGAATGGGATTGGGGCATGGGCAGTTAAGTGGGGATCCCTCAACATTAGGGGTGGCAATGGGACTTGAATGTATTCGGGTCCAGGTTACGGGTCAGAGTTTTGGACCCGGATCCGATATGTCGGGTCAAAAAGTTGGACCCATATTCGTACACGTCGGGTCTTGGGTCTATCCCATTGGGGCTCGGGTCTGATCGGGTCTATTGCCACCGTCACTATGAGCTTCCTTTTTGGTAGCCTACAATGGTGAACAACATAGAGCTAATTTTTGAGGGGTGGGCAATCAAAGAGAGATCTATGTCTCCAAGTAACTGAGAGAGGGAGGATTGCATAGAGGAGAATGGCAATGGGATTTGGTCGTTTGGAGAACTAGGGAAAAACAAAAAGTATTGAAACAATTTTAATGTTGGGGCTTAGCCTTTGGGTAAACTAAAATTTCAGGTCTGGGTACCGCCGAGTATAGCATAACCCGTACGCGGATCCGGGACTATTTGGGTATCTTTTATTGGATCCGGGATTATCCGGTTATCTTTTATTGGACCCGGGCTTTACCCGCCAAAATCTTGGGCCCATATCTGGACCGAGTTGGGTATACCCGGCGGTAATGGGTTGGGTCCGGGTCCATTGCTATTCCTACTCAACATAATGTCCCACCCTTCGTTCCCACCGTTAAAAAAAAAGTGGCCGGTGCATGAACTTTTTGTAGGTAAGGTTATCTAGAAAAAGAAAATTCTATTAGAGGTCACTTTGCACAAAGGTCCGGTCCTATCTGGGCTCTTTTGCCGCTGTTCTGCCTGTCCCAGTGCCACCGCCCCCTTTCTCCATTCCTCACCAAGGCGCTCGGAGCATGATTACATATGTGGGCCCCCTTGCCCCGGATCCTTCTGGCCTCACGAAGGCACCGGGATGAATGCATGATTACATTTTTGGATCCAAATTTTTAAGGATCTATAATACAAAACACGACTTATGAATTTTTTTTTTTTAAATGACAATTCTTTGTAATTAATTTACACCTTCTATTTTTTGTTTTTAATTGGGCAATCTTATGGCGTCCCATTGGAAAGATGGGAGTTTGATGAGTCATATTTCCGATTATTATATTGGGAAAATTGTAAAAAAAATTTCTATGCAACTTACTTCCAATCTAAGTATTTTTCTCACTTTCTTCCCCAAGATAAAACTTTTCATGTAGATACCCTTTCATTTTTTTCTCCATTACAAAATTTTCATGCAAATACCCTTCAAGGGAAAAAGTTCATTTTTTAGATGGGAAATGCATTTCTCGTACACGAAAAATCATTTTGGCTAGATTTGACATTGGCTTTTAGATTCCAATAGCATATTATGCGCACCATCACATTAATTAAAGTGCTGGCCAAACCGTACTTAGTACGGGAGCCTTGTTTTGCACTCGGAGCCCTTATTTTGGTGGGATAGAGGAAAAAAAAGTAATGGAGGATAGTTTTAGGCATTTTTTTTATTTTTATTTTATGGGGGTATTTGCATGTAGTCGGTTGTTTTTCTTTTTTTGTAATTTTTCTTGAGAGAAAAGTAATGAGGGATAGTTTGAGGCATTTTTTTATTTTTTATTTGATGGGGGTATTTGCGTGTAGTCGGTTGTTTTTCTTTTTTGTAATTTTCCTCCTTATATTTAAGGATGAAGCCTGCTCTTTCCCCCATACCAGAGGAATCAGTGGTAGGTGTCTTTATTAATATGTACAGAGCATATCTCTTTATTTTTGTTCCTTGTTTTAGAACATGTTAATGGTGGGAATATAGGGTTAGGACCTGGCCACTACACCAGGTTGGGCCTGGGCCAGCCCTATAGGGATTAGGGCTAGGTATGGGGGTGGCCTAGCCTAGGCTAGGCCTATTGCTACGAGGCTTAGAGAGCACGGTAGGAGAGCAAAAATGTGTGATTTGAGAAAGAACGGATTTAAGAGGCAAGAGAGACACGGTTAGAGAGAAGATGCAAGGAGGAAGGGCAGCACTAGAGAGAGAGAGAGAAGATGCAGGGAGGAAGGGCAGCACTAGAGAGAGAGGGAAAGGATTTGATTAGAGAGAAATGACATGAATATATGTGCGATCATGAGAGGGAGGAGCTAGAGAAATGACACATTTAGAGAGATCAAAGGGTTAAAGCGAGAAAGGGCCAACTAAAGAGAGAAATTTTTTTTTTTTTGAGAGAATAGAGAGAGAGGAGTTAGAGATAGAAAAAGTATTTAGAGAGAATAAATGAAAAAAAGTTATAGAGAAGGTATTTTTTTGAGAGAATAAAGAGAGAGGAGTTAGGGATAGAAAAAGCATTTAGAGAGAGAATAAATGAAAAAAAGTTGTAGAGCGAGAGATGAGAAAAGGCAAATAGAGAGAGAATAAATGAAAACGAGTTGTAGAGTGAGAGAAGAGACATGGGAAGAAAAAAAGGAGGTGAGATGTAACCTTCCTATAAAAAGTGGATAAACAAACTTCTGTGGGGGATGGGGCATAGCAGTTGCATGTTCTCATTTTTGTAAAATCTCAAAGCTTGTTTCCTTTAACTTGGAACATCCAGCTTTCGGAGCTTCAACTTCCAGTGTTATCAAATGTAGCCTACATCATTTGTTTTTCCATTTGAGATTTGGGATCTAATAGGACTCACCCATATGATTATTTTTAGGAAAATTGTTTCATGCGGGCTGGACCACATTTCTGCATATGCTATCCAAAAAATGTAAATCATCCATCTTAAAGATGGGTGCAAGTAGGTGTTCCATCTAAAAACAATGGAAACTAACGATCCAAATGTTTTTTTAGTAGAGTTTTTATTTCTAATTTTTAAAATTTATTTATTTTTTCATATTCATGATCTCCATATTAGAGATTACATGTCTTCAAAAATTAAGTCTTAAAATCCATCTAAAAAATAGATTTATTAAGAGGCCCGCAATTCTACATATGCGGGCTTGGCCGCATAGAAACCGGGTCCATATTTTTACGAGGATGAGGCTTCTGAGTCAGTTGACTTATATGTGCACATGCAGCTCCCTTATAAAATTCATTTTAAAGATATATTTTTTAACTAATTTTTTTATGGATTCATCATCTAGACCAAGGTGATCATGAATCTAAAAAGAAGCACAAATTTTTAAAATTAACAAGATTATTTTTGTATACCGTCCATACATTACTTATGTTGCACAACATCCAACGTTAGGATGGATGTTTGCCAGTCAGCAGGCTCTTGCACCTGTTGATCATGCTACAGTTTTCCTTTTCAAAATGTAGAGAGTTCAACACTTTTGAATTGGATTTTGAGTTTTTCAAATACCTTATTTCAATCTTGGAATGTCATTTTTTTAGGCACATGCATGATGTGATTTGAAAAAATATTTTTTAGATTCGTCGTTTCTTGAAGTGTTTAGATCCCCAAAAATCTTAGGTCCTAAAATTAATTCTACAGGTTTTACTTGAGGGAGCAACTGGACTTCCATGGGAGTGTAGAATCTTGACTATTAACATAGATTAGGAAACACGAAGTTGATTCCATCCGATAAAAACCCGAACCGCCTTATTACAGTTACTATGGCTTTCAAGAAAATGCCCTACCTTGAAAGAATGGGAAACCAACCTGGGCATTTTCAGATGCCCCAAAGGGTAAGTAAAATAACGATTCATTCTAACAGTACGGTTTATATTGCAATGGATCTTGTTTTTGAGATTTTTCCAAGAATGATTGGGAAGTTATTCTATGGGATCTTGTTTTTGATATTTCCTCTTGAAAGATTGAGAAATTATGCTATGACCATATAACATTAGAAACTCGATAGTTATCAAGTGTCGTAGCCATTCAATCAATGGAAGGATGGACCATGATAGAGTGAGTGTCATCACCTTCATTATTTTTGGTGTTAGCTCTG